GTGTGTGTGTGTGTGTGTGTGTGTACTTAATTTTTAAAGAGCAGTTTTAGGTTCACAACAAAATTGAGCAAAAGGTACAGAGATTTCCCATATACCTCCTGTCCTGACACATGTACAACCTCCTCCACTATCAACATCCCTCACTAGAGTGTGCACTTGTTACAATCAATGAGCCTGCACTGACACATCATTATCACCCAAAGTCCATAGTTTACCTTAGGATTCACTCTTGGTTTTGTACATTCTATGGGTCTGGACAAATGTATAATGACATATCCCCACCATTATAGTATCATATAGAGTAGTTTCACTGCCCTGAAACTTCTGTGCTCCACCTATTCATCCCTTCCTGCCCCAAACCCCTGGCAAACACTGATCTTTTTACTGCCTCCATAGTTTTGCCTTTTCCAGAATGTCACATAGTTGGAATCATACAGTATGTAGCCTTTTCAGATTGGCTTCCTTCACCTAGTACTATGCATTTATGTTTCCTCCATGTCTTTTCATAGCTTGATAGCTCATTTGTTTTTATCACTGAATAATATTCCATTGTATGGTTGTCCCACAGTTTATCTGATCACCTACTGAAGGATATCTTGGCAAGACACGTATTTTTTGTTTTCTCTGTAGTTAACACTTTTGAAGTTGTTCCAAATTCTCAAGGATAGTATTCATTCTCTGGAAACCTCCTTTTTTCCTTAGATCTGTCTTTCCTGGGACATTTCTTTCTCCTGTTCCAAACTGGACTGATTGTCCTCTAGGTACCTTTCTGGGGTCTTCCTCTTGGAATCCACTTCGTTCTGACTTCCAATGTCTTCCTTATTCCCTGATGAATCGCTCATTTTGATGTAGAATACCCTCAAGTAATTTTTGAAGCAAGTGGGCAAATTTTCTGAGACTTTTTATGTCTGAGAATGCTTTATTCTACACTTACCTTTGATTAATAGTTTGGTTAGACATAGAATTCTAGGTTGAAAAATTTCCCTTCAGAATTTTGAAGGTGTCCTGTTATCTTTTGATCTCTGGTGTGACTATTGAGAAATCTGATATTTGCATGTTTTTTTTTCCTTTGTACATGAACTACTTTTTAATCTCTATGAAAGCTCATAGGAGCTACTTTTTCAGTTTGACATTCTATAATTTCATAAGGATATATCTAAGTGTCAATGTGCTGGATACTTAGTTAACCCTTTCCATATAAAGACTACAAAGTTCTGTTGCATTATTTCTATGGTAATTTTCTCCCTTCCTTTTTCTCCATTCTTTCTCTGAAAGTCCCACTATTCAGAGTTTGGAATCTCCTTCACTGATCCTTTCATCTTTTCTTTCAGATTTCCTGTGTTTTTGTTTTTGGAGTTAAGTTATATTGTAAAGTGTTATATTCAAGTTTTAGTCCACCTGCAATTTGGCATTTGGGGAAGCGGTTACCTTGAAAGTTGTGACCTCCATGCCCAGGATCTTGGAATAAAATACAGTGGTGTCTTTAATGCTCTTTACTGTCATCACGATGTGGTCGAGTCTATGGATGAGACAGCGGGGAGGTGTCTGACTGCTGTACCTCCATAACTTAAAATTAAAAAAAGATTAGAAGAGATCACATTGCCACTGGTCACTCATACGTTTCCTTCTCCTCCCCACCCTCCGGCCCTCCCCAATTCCTATACTTCCTCCTCACCCCCATTTCAAGGGCAGGTCCTGAGAGAAACTTTGGTAGAGCTTTATTGCCTGTGCGTGGATTCACAGGAGTCTACGTGTCTGCTGTGACCACTCTCTACTGTTCTCTTGTTCTCTTTCTCCTTCCAGAGGGATGGGGTGAAGATTAGGGGAATGGAGACCAAGACCAAACCCTCCCTTGTTTTCCCCAGACTGGAATTCATCTCTTTTCCAAGAAATGACAAGACTGAGAGGAGGCCCAACCCTGTGAGTACAATCCCTGCAGCTTTGGACACAGAGGACAGGACAAGAAGGGAGCATCTCAGATGAAATAAATGTTTCTGGGCCTATGTGTTTACAGATCCACCTTGACACTCAGTGGGAGGACGCAATTCCCGGGCTCTTCCACTCCCCCTTCACCCCGGCACACTTCCCACCAGATCTTTGACTTGCATTCTTTAGGAATTTGTACATTTAAATTACATCTGCTATGGGATTATAAGGTGCTGTGGTCTGGCACTATAGGTAATAGAGTATAGTGGTTAAAAGAATAGATTCTAGAGCCAGACTGACATTTAATTAATCTCTCTGTGCCTTGGTTTCCCCTTCTGTAAAATGGGCATGATTTTATACACATCTTATAGGATTGTTGTGAAGATTTAAAAACAGAGTTGTATTTTTATGTCTTAGAACAATGCCTGACACATATCGGGTGCTATAAAAGGGATGATGTTACTACTAATGCTGCGGTCATCTTGTCAAAATTCACGCTCCTTATCATGACCCCCAATCTCTACAGCCTCATCTATTTGCTCTTGAACTCCAAGCCACACTGTCCTTTTGCCTGTTCCTCATAGGGGCCATCCCTGTACCTTTAGTGTCAGGGCCTTTGCAGATGCTAATACCTATCTCCCTAACTAGAATGTAAGATTCTGTTTTGTTCCCCACTGTTTCCCAAACAACTAGTTCAATAATATCTGTTCAATAAATGAATATCTACTACAACAATTAGGTACAGTGCTTGGCACAAAGTCTGACTGATGTTCTGTTTGATTTGATTCGCTTCAATTCGATTGGATTCCATTCCATTCTGTTCTACCTTATGCTATTTTATTCTTTTCTGTTCCACCACATTTAATTCCATTCAAACTAGTACATGTCGAACAATTGATTCCACTGAGCCCCAGCTAAAAAATACAGCGCAGTTCTATTTTCATGAGTGGAGGAGGCATTAGCAAAGTCGCTGACTTCTGCTGTCCTCATGGATACACAGGATCCACATGGACACAGAAGCAGTAGAATGAGAAAAATGGCTTAAATTTGGGCTCCATTAAAAATAAAGTTGTATGTTAAAAAAATCTTATTAGCCTTCTAATGTCTGTAGAATCTATAATAGCATTCTTGGTATCAATAATTTGTATTTTTTCTCTTAATTTCTTGAGAGAAAACAGACATTGCTAATATTTTATGAATCTGTTCAAAGAACTAGCTTTTGACATTGTTGACTTTCTCTAGTGTGTGTTTGCTTTCTATTTCACTGGTTTCTGCTCTTATAATTTCCTTCCTTCTATTTATTTAGGGTTCAATTTGCTGTTCTTTTTCCAGCTTCCTGATAGGGAAGCTTAGGTCATTGATTTTCAACTTTTCTGATGTATGCATTTAGAGCTATAGATTTCCTCTAAGTGCTGTTTTAGCCACATCCCCCCAATTTTTATAGTCTATTGGAAATAAATTCAACCTATTCCTCCCATTATCCAATGCCCTTCCAACTCAGATTCATTTCCTAGATCTTGCTTTGCCGACTCAGAGCTCCATCCTTGCAAATTCAAGGATGAGCAGGGATGGCTGTCTTAAGGAACAGGAAGAAGGCCAGTCCAAGAGTGAGTGAGAGAAGAGAGGGAGGGAAAGGCAGGGGCCAGATCCTGCAGGGCCTTGGAGGAGAGGTTAAGGAGCCTGCTTTATAAAATGATGATCAGGACACAGTAAACAGCCGGGCGCGGTGGCTCACACCTGTAATTCTAGCCCTCTGGGAGGCCGAGGCGAGAGGATCGCTCGAGCTCAGGCGCTCAAGACCAGCCTGAGAAAGAGAGAGAGACCCCATCTTTACTAAAAATAGAAGGAAATTAGCCGGACAACTAAAAATATATAGAAAAAATTAGCCGGGCATGGTGGCGCATGCCTGTAGTCCCAGCTACTCGGGAGGCTGAGGCAGAAGGATGGCTTGAGCCCAGGAGTTTGAGGTTGCTGTGAGCAAGGCTGACGCCACTGCACTGTAGCCTGGGCAACAGAGCAAGACTCTGTCTCAAAAAAAAAAAAAAAAAGATACAGTAATCATGTAAGGCTTACTGTGCGTCAAGCCCTGTTTCAAGTACTATACAAAATATAATCCATTTTGGCCAAGTGATGGCTCACACCTGTAATTCCAGTTATTTGGGAGGCCAAAGTGAGGGGGTATCACTTGAGGCCAGGAGTTCAAGACCAGCCTGGGCAACATAGCCAGACCCTGTCTCTACAAAAAAATTTAAAAATTAGCTGGCAGTGTGCATCTGTAGCCCCAGCTACTTGGGAGGCTGAGGAAGGAGCATCACTTGAGCCCAGGAGTTCAGGGTTGCAGTGAGCTGTGATTGTACCACTGCACTCCAGCCTGGGCAACAGAGCAAGACCCTGTCCTTTTTATTTCTCGCAGCAACCCTATAAAATCAATATATTCAGAGTGCCCAGAACATGATGTCTCTCTCCGTAGGGAAAGATTCTATTTTCCTACAGAGTCCTCTTCAAGGTTCCCTTCAGGCTGCCAGGGGCTCCTGAATTCTGGCAAATCTCAAGGTCAGTGCTGTGTTTCCTGGCCCCTCCCCACCAGGCCCTATCATGACAACCTTGGGGACACCCTCTGTGAGCCACTGTTGGATCTGTCCACCTGTCCCTGGCTGAACTGGCTCCCCCTGAGCCACCCAGAGGGAGTAGCCAACCCTCGGCCCAGGCCCACCCTTACAGGCCCTGGGTTAGAGCAGGGCCTTTCCGTGTGCCTCTGCTGCCCTCTGCTTGTCTTTGAAAGAGGAAGAGAGAGAAGAAGTCAAGGAAATGGAGGTCAGCACACCAGGGGAGCCCACAGAGAAGGGAAACAGGTTACCAGGCTCTGGTGGGAGGATCCCCAGTCTCGGTGCCAACACCAGTGCTCCAAGCTCCCAGGGGCTACCTCACCTGTTTCTCGGAAGTCCTGCCCCACATCCTGACTAGCAGCCTGGAGGACAGAAGGTACAGCATGGCAGGGAAGGTGTCCTTGTCCTGGGGCTTCCAGACAACCCTCTGGCTCAGTGCCTGGAGATCAAGGTACAGGAATGGGAGGGCACAGGCTAAGGACTGTGGGTGGTGACAGAGGTAGGTGGTGCAAGTACAAGGACTCTGACGTCAAACTCAAGGTCTTGAAAGTAAAAGTTTAGGGTGGATGTGTGTAAGGGGTTACTTCTTCTTCTTCTTCTTTTTTTTTTTTTGAGACGCAGAGTCTTGCTCTGTGGCCCCAGCTAGAGTGCAGTGACGTCATCATAGGCCACTGCAACCTCAAACTCCTGGGCTCAACTCCTGCCTCAGCCTTCTGAGTAGCTAGGACTATAGCTATGAACCACCATGCCTGGCTAAGTTTTCTATTAATGTTTTTTGTAGCGATGGGGTCTTGCTCTTGCTCAGACTGGTCTCAAACTCCTGGCCTCAAGCGATCCTCCCACCTCAGCCTCCCAGAGTGTTAGGATTATAGGCTTGAGCCACCACGCCCGACCAGGGGTTACTTCTTAATAACACAGGAAAAGCCACCTATTCCCAAGTACTGAGGGGACCTTTGTTCTAGAGTGTGAGGCCTCTGGTCTATTTAGGGGTGTGTCTGCAAAGTGTCAGATCTCTGATCTGTTTGGGAGTCTGTGTCCAGGTTGTGAGGTTGTGAGCTATCCCAGTTAGAGTATGACCACTCTGACTTGTTATGGGTCTGTTTCTGAGCCAAGATCTCTAAGCTATTAAGAGTTCTGGGAGCGGTGACTCACACCTGTACTCCTATCACTCTGGGAGGCTGAGGTGGGGGGATCACTTGAGGTCGGGAGTTTGAGAACAGCCTGAGCAACAGCAAGATCCTGTCTCTACTAAAAATAGAAAACTTAGCCAGGCATGGTGGCGTGTAGCTGTAGCCCCAGCTACTCAGAGCTACTCTGGAGGCTGAGGCAGGAGGATCGCTTGAGCCCAGGAGTTTGAAGTTGCTGTGAGCTATGATGACACCACGGCACTCTACCCAGGGTGACGGAGACTCTGTCTCAAAAGAACAAAAAAAGTTCTGTGCCTCAGGGTGTGATGTTTCTGAATTATTTGGGTGGGGGGTGAGGTCTGGGGTCTTCCCCATCCCCACTCACCCCTCACTCACCCTCTCTTTCCACTGCTGAGAGTCAGAGACCATTCATCAGCCCATTGCTGTTCACCTTACCCTGAGCTGAGCCCCATTTTCTCTTGCAAGTTACCTGCCTGGGCCCTGGATCGTGTGAGTTTGATATTTTTATTTCCAGACACACCCTAGTTACCCCCAACACAAACGCTTTGTGCCATGGATATTGTTTTTAAGTATTTGATTTTCCTTTTAAAAATGTTACACAAGGCCGGGCGCAGTGGTTCACGCCTGTAATCCTAGCTCTCTGGGAGGCCGAGGCGGGCGGATTGTTTGAACTCAGGAGTTCGAGACCAGCCTGAGCAAGAGCGAGACCCCGTCTCTACTAAAAATAGAAAGAAATTAATCGGACAACTAAAAATATATAGAAAAAATTAGCGGGGCATGGTGGCGCATGCCTGTAGTCCCAGCTACTCAGGAGGCTGAGGCAGAAGGATTGCTTGAGCCCAGGAGTTTGAGGTTGCTATGAGCTAGGCTGACGCCACGGCACTCTAGCCCGGGCAACACAGTGAGACTCTGTCTCAAAAAAAAAAAAAAGTTACACAAATAATACATGAATAAAAGTTTACATAAAAGGTTTGGTCCTTCTACCATGTGAGAAAGATGCCATCTATGAACTAGGAAGCTGGCCCTCACCAGACACTAACTCTGCTTGCACCTTGATCTTGGACTTCCCAGCCTTCAGAACTATGAGAAATAAATTTCTGTTGTTTATATTAGCCACTCAGTCTGATATATTTTGTTATCGCAACCCAATGGGACTAAGACAGGGGTGAAGCATCTTCTCTTTCAAATTGTCAAGCAATGACAGTGACAACGACATCACCTATTGGCTGGCATCCAAGGTGCCAAGCCAAGAAATCTCACACTTGACTCTCCATTTTAAAGGCCATCCCTGGTTTCTTAAAGTTGTCCATGTGGTTTAACTCTCGAGTCTTCTTTCTCTCAGTGTGAGAAAATAGGAATATTCCTCCCTGGTTCTCTGGGAGAGCAGAGAATGGTCAAATCCTTTGTCAGGCAGTGGGCTGAGGCTAATATCTGTGGGAACAGAGGAGGGAAGCAGCAGTTTAGCCCCTTTCTGTGTGCCAGGCACCAACTGGTTCCTTAGATCCATGTTTCCTTAAATCCTCACAGCAGCCCCATGAGCAGGTGTCATCATTAGTATTTAACAGATGAGAAAGTCAAAGCATTGCAAGGTTAAGTGACATGGTCAAGGGCCCTCAGAAGTGGTTGGGTTGTGCTTAGAGTTCTTGTATATGTCCTTTCTTCATTTAGGGGGTCTCCTTTCCTTTTGTCATGTTGCCAGCGATCATTCCCTGCTGCTGGTGTCCCGGATAACAGTGCAGCTTCTTGCTTTTCACCTGTAGTTTGATGCTTGTGATTTGCTCTAAGCAGGAAGGTGAGAAACCCCAACTGTTTGGCTGCTCTTCAGCAGCGAGGCCTGGGCTTCTTGCCCTGTGTCTTGTTCTGCATCTCTGGGCCTTTAAAGAAACCCAGGCTGCTCACTCCCAGGCACCAGGCAACAAGTACACTTTATCCGGTGTGGCCACTGCTTGGGGTTTTGATGTTCACCCAAGAACTCCCTACCACATGCCAGCTCCAATCACGAGTCTCTGTACGTGTCTGCCTGGTGTTTGAATCCTCTGGCTTCAGTACCTACTCTAGGCTGAATTTTTGGCTTGGTGATGCGGGCACCCTATTCTCTGGCTTACTGTTTGTCAGTCAACGTGCAGGTTCCCTGATTTCACCTGCAGCCACAGCTCTGAAGAAGTGAGAGTTTTGCTGCCTGTCCCAGGCCCACAGCTCCTCTATTCTGTCACTAGATTAGACTTCCAGGGGTGTGTGGGGACAATCAGGAACTGCATACTAGAGCCCAGTGGCTGGGCCACTCAGGGGCCAGGTTCTTTTGCTTCTTAAATTTAGCTGGATTCTGGAGACAAAGTTACCTGGACAATTGTATAATTGTGGCTAGTTTTCAGAATGTAAACATACACATGTTTGCTTGAACAATATAAGTATACTTGGAACTTCAAGGGTCTATGTGCAAGTTGATTTATGTGTATGTACATAATTTTTGATGTTATTATTCTTTAATAACTAATGATTCCAAAGAATAAACAATTACCTGATGCTCTGGTTGTTGGTATGGAGTTTGGAAAGGAATAGATTCTATAACTTGTGCTCAAACTGTTGGACTAATATGTCCAGTTAAATCACTGAAATGGGTAGGGGAAGGTTGCTTGAAGATCAACCCCAGGCCCGTAGTGGTGGAGGGGCACCCAGGGATGGGGCTCTTTATCTTTAAGACAAACTTAAACCCTATGACCACGCCTGCTTCCTCAGCCCAGATCTTGCTGTGGAGAATCAGTAAAAGAAACCATGGCACTCAGGGTCTTTCTGTGGCAAAATTTCCCAGAAACCCTTGCTTCACTTTTGTCCTGGTCTTTCCCTGCATGTCCCATTTTGCGCTGTCCTGCCTTCTGCCTCTGCCCTTTCCTTGTGGTTTCTGCCCGAGTCTTGCCCATAGACTGGATGGTGGCACTCAGGAGCTGATCTCTTGGCATCTGTAACACGACACGTCTGAAGAGTGGGAGAGAGCTGGTGAAGGCCCTGGGAACCAGAGGGGAGGGAAGGGAACCAAGGAGGCCGACAGAAAGGGAGGCTGGGACCCTCTGAACTCACGTTTCATTTTCTTCTCCATTTTTTCCCATGTGTAGGTAAAAATCATGCCCTGCAGCATAATTCTTTCATCAGATGGAATCAGGATAAATGGATTTAATTTCTATTTTTGGATGCTGCCCTGCCTTTGTATTCCTTTTGTCTGAACCCCTTGATGATCTGGGATAGTTTGGCAGAGCTGCATTTCAGAGCAAAGTGAGGAACAGATAAATAATTCACAAATAATAGGATTGTAGTCCGAAGGGAACACATAGCTGTTTTCAGCTCTAAGTAGAGAGGGGGGCTGCAGCCAAATATGAACGTTTCTTGACCCAAATGTGGCGAGTTGTTTCCATCCCAGGCTTTCTCCTCAAGGCCCTGTCAATAATGGATGAAGGGACCACAGAGCTGACCAGCTCGGGACTGATGAGTCTTTCTTGAGTTGATGCAAAAACACAAAAATTATGTAAAAAAAAAAATAAAAGGTTTGAACAACACATCAGTACATGGACTATACAGGTCATCCCCACCCCTACTCCTCCAAAATGACCCCTGGGGTCAGTTTCTGGTGTTTCTTTCCACTTTTCTCTGTGATTATGTAGAGTGTGTGTGTGTGTGTGCACGCGCACATGTGCACTAGGTCACCATAACCGACTCCCACTTACTTTTCCCTGCCTACAGCTGTCCTGCAGAGGGCACCCCTACCCCCAAAGGTACACGCAGGTCCCACCCATTCTGTATCACGTCCAGCGGGTGCTCTGAGCTGTAACACAAAACCTCTTCGTTCATTTCACTCTGCAACAGTCATTGGCTATGAATGGACATTTACAAGATTTTCCCAGTTGTTTGCTCCTACCAGCCTTGTGCACACAGCTCTGTGCACATGTATGAGTGCCGGAGTTAGAAGTGGAATTGCTGGGTGTATTAGGGTTCTCCAGAGAAATAGAACCGATATATGATTTATTATAAGGAATTGGCTTATGCAATTATGGAGGCTGAGAGTCCCATGATCTGCCATCTGCAAGCTGGACACCCAGGAGAGCCAGTGGTATAGTTCTGAAAACAAAAGGGCTGATAGTGTAAATCCCAGTCGAGGACAGAGGACTGATGTCTCAGCTCAAGCCGTCAGGCAGAGGGCAAATTCCATCTTCCTTCATCTTTTTGTTCTATTCAGAGCCTCAATGGATTGGGCGATGCCCACTGACATTGGGGAGAGCAGTC